TTTTTTTTTAAAAAAAGCTGAATTTCAAGGACTTGTGAACACCGAAAGTTGCATGGAAATGAAAATGCTTCTTTGATGCTAAGTTCAGTTTAAATTCAGGAAAAAAGTTCTGTAACTTTCATCAAATTCTCAGGCCTTTGATACTCTCAAAATAGTAAGAACTGCTTTGCTTTACTTTATGAGCTGATAAGATGGTGGTATTTCAAAAAAATTATACCCTAACATATGTTTACAAATTTTATGTCTAATACTATTCATAATAGCCAAATATTTGATACAATCCAAATATTCATCAACAAAGGTTGTGGCCATCCTGGATATATTTAACAATAATGAAAATAGAATAAACTATAGTTGTATGCAACAAGCAGTATTTATTTCACAATATTGAGTAAAAAATGTCATACCAAAAAGAATACACATTGTTTTTGTGCATATAGTTCAAAAACAGGCAAAATTAAACTCATACAAGGATGCATGGCTAAAATATAAAGAAAAGCAAAAGGTAATTTCCTTAAAAGTCAGGAGATGGGGCCCTCCCTGGTGGCGCAGCGGGTTAAAGCACAGCACTATGAAGCTAAAGCCACTTCAGTATGAGTTTGGTTCCTGCCCTGGAGGTGACCCACATAGCGTGGCAGACCTCTCTTGACCCACTGCTGCTCCCCTCAGCAGTGTACTTCATGGATCTGCCTGTTCTGCTTCCCACTCTGTCTCTGGTGAATCCTCTCCCTGCCCCTTTGCCTCTGGCTTGTGCCCCAGTTCTATATGCATAGATAAATAAATCTTAAAAAAAAAATGTCAGGAGAGTGGTTATTTTTGAAAGGAAGATAATCTTCATCAACATGCTTATGAATATATATGATTTTTATGTTTTTCTTTGTACTTTTCTATAACTTTCCAATTGTCTACCTATGTACAATGAACCCATGTAACTAATTTGGGAAAAAAATTGATATTATTTTTAAAAGTAACCAAAAAGCCTCAGTAAGATAAAATTCCAGAGGGAAACTGAAAATAAAATAATAAAAAAAAGATGCTCTGATGACTATAACTCTACCATATCTGTAACTTCAGTTTATTCCTTTTTTCTTTATCCTTATTTTTTTCCTGCTTAAAATTCTGAGGGAAAAAAATCAATTTATTTCCTATGATTAAATTATTTTGTTTTATTCCTGATCATCTAGATTATTTTTTATTAAATTTTTGGATTGGTTAGCTTATTTTCATCTTTTTTTAAAAAGATTTATTTATTTATTCATACAGAACTGGAGTACAGGCCAGAGGTGAGGGGAAATTGAGAGGATTCACGAGAGACAGAGTAGGGACCAGAATAGGCAGATCTAGTGAAATACACTGCTGAACCAAAAAGAAGAAACACATGTCTTTTGCAGCAACATGGATGGAGCTGGCAAAGATCATGCTTAGTGAAATAAGCCAGAAAGAAAAGGAAAAATACCGGATGGTTTCACTCATAGCAGGAATATAACGGAACAGGAGAGAAAATAATAATAATGATGAACAGTTATATACCAGAGACATTTTGTGGGGGTGGACCAGTGCTTGCATTCAAGAACAAAGGCAAGCTAGGACAAATGCCCCAATTCAAAGTAGCCATGCAAGAGAAATTCCCTCTTACTCAGGTTTTTGGTTCTCTTTTAAATTTTCAATTATGTAGATAAGGCCCACCCACATTAAGGAGACCAATTTACTTTCCTGGGTCTATTGACTCAAATGCTAACCTAAATAGAACCTTGTCACACACACACCCTGAATAATGTTTGGGCAAATGTCAGGGCACCCATGACCCAATCAAATGGACAAAAAAATAATCAACACAACTCCATTCTTTGTGTCATGAGGAAAACAATGTTAGAGAAAACCAACTTATGTTTTAATGAATTATTGCCTATGCATTTTACATTATTATAACTATACCATCACAGTCTGGACATTCAGACAAAGACTTGACTTTAGGTTGCCCATCATAAGTAACAGATGCTTGCTGTCCTGCACTCTCTCCTGAATGATTACGACGTGGGACATGTTTACTGGCTTCTCAGAGTGCCCGCTTCCCTCACTCCCCTGCCCCACTCCTGGAATCTATAATAAACCATGTGACTCTGCTTCCTTTGTGTGAGTGAATTGAATTTGTGCCTTCAATAAAAATGACCCTGAAGTTTTTACTCAGATTGGTAACCCATGCAGGTGTCTCATGCTTTCTTATTGCTGGTAACAGTCTGCATATGCTTAATTTAATGCAACACAGCTTGTCAACCTAGTACCAATATACAGCTTCTTAAAATACACTTAATCTTAAAATAACAATGAACAAGTTCAAAATTCCACCTATCATGAGACAATTATCCCGAATACAATTGAATATGCATGAATCCTTTCTCCAGAAAATGAGGTAAAGTCCTTGAGTGATGTTTACCTTCTCCTTGATATGTTTAATTTTCCTTAAATACTATGGTGTAAAATAAGGAATACTTTTATACTATGATGTAAAAACAATGTGTCTTCTGTTACTGATAAGAGAGTAAGAGAGGGAAGAAAACAAAGATATTTTATACATATATACAAATATATCAGCATATTCAACAAAAAATAAGGAGGGAATGTCATGATAATTACAATAATCATTGTAACTATCCACATGTTTGTAACTGATATTTATAACTACATTCTTCCACTACCCATTGTATTCGCTTTACTTTCAATAAGCAGCTCAAACTCTTCCTTTCTTTCCTCTATAGAAAAAAGGCAAAATTAGCTTACAATGCTTTGAAAAATTAGGTCAAATTGTTTTTCTATTGAATATTTTCTAACACTTTAAGGCTTCAGTAAATGTTCTTTTTGGGGACTATACCACTTTATATTTGTTACCAGACACTGCCACTTACATAGACTAGCTAATAAAAATTCAAATCTAAGAGTTTGGCTTTAAAACTACTATTTTTTCCACTACATTAAGTGCAAGTTTGCAAAAAAAAAAGTAATTGTCTTGCCAAAATGTAGATAACATATTTGTCAGTTTTGAGCACCTAACAATGCTATAGCCTATGTTAAGTTCAAGTCTTTGACATTTTTAAAGTTAATTACTGTAGTTCCAAGACAAAGCCAGGCACATGAAAAGGTTGCTCAACAAATGCTATTGTCAGATAAATGGCATTTTTTGCTGAGTGATTAGTTAATTATTAATTTATCAGCAAGAAAGCTTCCATTTAAAAGTTTCTAGTAGAGTCTTTGTAGAGTAAGTGATCTGGAAAGAATTTCATAGTAGCTATGCAATTGGAAAGCAAGTATGCACCCAAATCCCCATACTGGTAACTTTTCTGAGACGTAAAAATGATTGTATTCCCAATACTCTCTGTTTGTGAAAATCTTGACATTGAGGGGAAAATGTGCAAATTTGCTCCAGAACCAGTGAATTTCCTGAGAGTAAATGGAGGGAGAGTCTGACCTACTTTAGGGTCAACACTAAATGATCAACTTCTCTGATGAACTGAGATAGTTGCCATTGGGATACACTGGCAAGATATATACTTGATGATTCCCCAAGAATAAACATACTATGAAGGTAGTGAAAGTGTAGTGAAAATGATCAGCATTAGTTAGTACTTAGCCTAGGCTGAGTCTACGTGACCTTGAAAGAGTCATTCCAGTGTGGCTAACCCACAATCTATATAACTATTGGAGCACAAGTTTGGAGAATGAAATTAGGGAGAGACTCTTCCTCTTGAATTTTTCTGTCCTCTGCTAGCAGTTAGATGATTAATGGCTCTGATACAAAGATAAGCACGGGTGAGAAATAAGGCTGTTTCAGTGGTAAAATAGGGTGACAAGAGTGGCAGTGGCAGTTACAGATACATTAGATGCATAAAAGAGCAATCCACTAGCTCTTCAGTTCTTTCTCCATTTAATCTTTCCAAAACAAAACTGACCCCTATGCACTTACTGAGTCCCTGTAGTTCTTGGACCAATCATTTTGGAGGGAGGTGGGAGTAGCCTTCAAGTAAGGATGACAGATATCACAAACAAACAAATAAATAAATAAGCTTATAAGTTCAGGATGCCCAGTAAAAGTTCAATTTAATATAAATAACAGGGAATGGAATGGTAACCTATATCTATTCCCTTAAATCACATACAGTTTTTTAAATGAATGTTACCTCTTTACAGAGAAAAAAGTAAGATGAGCAACACATAGATTTTTTTTTGTTGTTGTTTTTTAAAGATTTATTTATTTGTGCATACAAAACTGGGGTACAGTCCAGAGGCTCAGGGGCGGTGAGAGGCTTCACCAGAGACAGAGTGGGGAGCAGAACTGACAGATCGATGAAGTACACTGCTGAGGGGAGCAGCGGGCGGGTCAGGAGAGGTCTGCCGCGCCATGTGGTCACCTCCGGGGCAGGTGGGAATTGAACTCATGTAGAAGTGGCTTTTTAGCTTCTTAGTGTGGTGCTTTAACCCACTGCGCCACCAGGGAGGGCCGAGCAACACATAGTTTTTCAGTGTAAGTATGGCCTGGGTAACTTCTATCAGACTTATAAATTTAACTGCATGTCTTGTGTTTTTATCTGTCAACCCCAACTTCAAGGTAAAAAATTACAGTTTCCAGATAATTTTTTCATATGAGGTTTCAAACAGAGGCCATACTAATAAAAAAGCCAACGTAAACTATACATAGTATTTTCTTTAAAATCTACTAGTACGTGTTTACTAGTATTATAGCTCTTAACACTGTATTGTGATCATTAATCTTTTTATGAGTTTCCTCCAATTTTCTTTTTATATAGAGGGGAGGTAATCTCTGTATCCCAGCTCAACCCAATGCCTGAGATAGTCATACTGGTTGAAGTATAAATGGATACTTGATAAATTAGTTTCAATGAATTTGGGCAAATTGCCATTTTACCCAGTAGAGGGCAGCTGTGCACACACTCTGTACAGGCAATCCATATATTAGGGCTGTGCAAAGCGGTGTGCTGAACTTGAAAAGTTCTGCAGTTCTCTAAATCAAACCTCCATCCCCACCTCACTCTATGCTATGCCAATATAAGCAGAATCAAGACCAGTCAATTTGCAGGAAAAGTTCATACATGGTGCATAATTCCTATTCTATTGAAAATCTCAATTAAAACCTCAACCTCCTCTCTCTTCTGTTTAGAAATACAAAGCTTTCTTACATGGAAACACTTGGGAAAATATCCATATAGGTTATATTTTAAAAAAAACCATAATAGTTTCACATATCTATACAAATTCTAAATATTCTATGTGTGGCCATCACTCTTGAATATGATGGACTTTGAAAAGATACAGTCTTTTAAAAATACATATGATTTATTGTCTCATATCATAAGCTATGATACACATCAGAGAAAAAATAGGCTAGGATATTCATAAGTGGTGTCATTTCTATTACAACTTCATATAGTATTTGGGAAAAAAAGCATGATTTCTCTTATTTTATCATCTCTTGTTTTTCTACCAATAAAATAATTTCTTTTTCCTAAGGATAGGGATTTTTTTTTCTTTATTTCTTTTCTATTAGCACTCTCTAAAACTTCTATTACATTAATGTTAGACTTTGTATAGCTGATCAATATGTCTTATATAAGTTTTCTCTCTTACTATTTCACTCTGCCTACTGTCTTATTCTTGTGTCTTCAGTAGTATTCAGGATTCACTTTGCTATTTAACTTTCTATAAATTTAGTTTTAGTTTGCTCTTTATATATTTTTTATTATGACAATTTATTTATGCGTGTTGTGTAGTTTTAAAAAATGTTCTCACTGTTCTCTTCTTTATTAATTTTGAAGACAATCATTCCAGTAATTTTTAGCTCGTTGTAATTAATTTTTTTAATGAAGGGCCTTTTTCTTACATCCTTGTTAACTTTGGACACTGTAGAATTTCTATCCTCAGGTGTGGTCACCATAGTTCTCCCACCACCAAAACACCCAGAGCCCATCACCATAGCACTTAGTGTTCTCTCCTCCTTCCCATTTTCACCTCTCCAATCCCCCTTCCTTTCCCCACTTGAAATCTACAGTCAGATTTCAAGGTTCGTCTTTGACTTTTTGTTTGATTTCTCTATATTACACATGTAAGTGAAACTATTTAGTATTTCTTTCTCTCCTACTGATGTATTTTTCTTAGCATAATCCCTTCTAGCTCCATCTATGTCCTCCCAAATGGCATGAGCTTATCTTTTTTATTGCTGAGTAGTATTCCATTGTGTATATATACTACATCTTCTTGGTCCATTCCAGACAACAAAAGTGAATATTTTGTATGATTAGAACTTTATAGAGTAATATGCAAAACAAAAATTAATTGATAATATATCATTTCATTAACCCTCACAACTATTGCATGAGATAGGCAATAGATGGCTTAACATAAAGCTAACAAAACTTATATTTCACAGCCCTCCAAAGATCCAGAAAGGGGCTGTACAAATTCATTTGCATATCCATATGTTTTGTTTACAACTTGCAAAGAAAGATAGTTGACAATTGGCCAAAACCATTAATTCAACTTAATTTCCTCTCTATCACTTGGGACAGTAATGAAATGGCTATGGGCATTTTCAGGATGTGGCTGTGGGAATCATGAATTATGTGTTTGGAAGTACATTTAGTTTGAACTTATGGAATATATTTTTGTGTTTCACAGTCACTTCTGTGTATGGCATATATGCTGATAAATTGTATCATGATTTAAATATGTCTCCTTGTGTCCAGCACCAATATTTTTAAATATATATTTATTATATCAGCCTTCATATTTGTACAAAGTATGATTTCTCTACAAAATTCCCACCATCAACTCATCCATGCACCATCACCATAATCCATGTGCCCTTCCCATCCCTGTCCTAATTTTTCTCCCTCCTCCTTTCCTACAGATAGTCTCTGATTTATAGTTGCCTGATGATTTTGATTTTTACTTTATCATAGTTACTTCTTTTTTCCTGACCCATTTTTTGTTTTTTCTACATTACTCCTATAAGTGAGATCATTTAATATTTTTCT